GCAAGCAAGACAGCGGGGCGGGGGGGGGTGGAGATCACTAAATACACGGGATTAAAGGGAAGGCTTTTGTTAGGCAGGGCACTAATAGCACCCAGTAGGAGTCTGCACGCCTCCTCGCTTTCTTTTCGGGGTGTTTAGTACCAATAGGTCTTTTTGGGGGGGGGGATATGTATGTGCGTGCGAGTTTATAAATAGGACCTCACAAGCGACCTGCCAAGGCAGCGCTTCCCCCTTGCAAACCTCCCTCTGCAGCAGGGAAAAGGGGCAGGCAGGTGACATCTAGCATCAGTGTGTGTGAGGGGGGGAATTAAAATAAAAAAACAACCCCAAACAACCCTCTGTGCCTGCCTATAAAATACCTCCAGACACAGCACATGCTCCCGGGTCTAGCATGGCAAAACGTGGCACTGGCTTTTCCCAGCTCGCCAGCCCAACTCCACATCCCGGACGTATATACATAATGTATTAGCACCGTGCATCATAGCTGTTCCATATTCATTATGGCAAAGGGGGCAATTGTTGGGGGGGAGGGAGGGGAAACGAGCTACTTTTCTTTGGAGGGCCGGGGGGCATTGCACTCCCCCCAGCAGTTCGCCCAAGGTGATTTGGTTTGCTCGCTTTTTCTCTTTACAACCCTCTCCTGTGCTCTTAAATCGAGGGGGAGAATATTAGCCACCCGCAGCATCTCTAGATGCCGTAGACAGGAGCGGGGCACTTTGGACCTCCCTGCTGGTGCCCCGGTGGAGACCGGCTCCTTTCTATTATCTGGTGGGTTCAATGTTGTTTCTTTTTTGATATATATATAAAAAATAGGTTATAATTCTTCGGTGTAGGAAGCCCTGTTTAACCCCAGGAACCAACCTGCGAGCCGGGTGCCTTTTGAATAATTGCCTGCCTAATGCTAAATGCCCTTGGGGGGAATATTTATTAAAGGGAAACAATTGTCCCAAATCCCTGTAGGAACTCGGTTTGTTAAAGGCTTATTGGCTTTTGCACCTGCCTGGTTAACAACAAGCCTGGTCCGTCCCCCCTCCTCCCCCCAAAAAAGAAAGAAAAGAAATAACAATACCAACTTTGGGGGGTTCCTATATTTAGTTTTTTAAAAAAATCTATTTGGAACCAGAGCCATAAATAAACCGCGGAAGAAAGAACTTGGGCAGCTTTTGCTGCGACTTGGGCAGCTTTGGCTGCAACTTGGGCATCTTTTGCTGCGGCTTTGTAGCTCTCGAAAGAAATCGGGACTCGGATATTGTAGCTTCAGGGAAGGGTCCTCCTTCGTCCGGAGACACACGAGTCCCCCGCAGGAGGATGAGCCAGGTCTTTGCAGCCAAGTGAAAGCAGATGCAACGGAAACTCGTACCCACGGAGCTCCGCTGCCAAGGGCTCCCCACCCGCCCAGCCCCCGACACACAACGCCTTAAATCAGAGCTGCTCACCCAGGGAAGCCCAGGGACGGACCCGAAACGGCTGCAGAGAGCCCGATCGGGAAGGCTAGGATAGAAACACGCCTCTGTGCTGTTCCTCTCCCTCTCCCGTCACAGAAACCATCTCCCTGCTTTCTGCCTTCCCTTGGAGGCTTCCCTCCAGGAGCGACACTGAATGAACCGGGGCGGGGGATGCTTTGCAGGTCTATTCACCTGCTCCTGAGCGAGGACTTGTGCATTTAGCAAGCTGCGGACAGAGGTTTTCGTTGGACTCGGGAAAGGCACCGGGCATTGCCCAGGACCGCGTCTCGCCCTCTGCTTTCCCCCCTTTCCCTCGCTCGCCAAACACGTGTTTGGAAGGAAGCAGACGCTCCCTGCCAACCTACTTGCACCACCCTCGAATTTGACAGTAAAGGACCCCCCCACACACACCCTCCACCAAGTCCAAGGAGCTCCACATTTGCTCCCCCGTGGCTCTTCAGTGGCTGCCCGTCAGCCTCGAGGGGGAAGGGGCCGAGAGGACTCTGTTGTGTGCTCCGGGGTCACTTCTCCTTCTCTTCTTCCTATTTTGCAACCGTTTACATTTCCCCACGACATCCCCAGCCTGTCTTTGGAAGGCTCCTGAAGTTTGTGAACTCCATCCTTGGAGGTTTTGAAGACCCGGCTAAGCAAAGCCTTGGCCGGGATGATCTAGTTGGGGCTGGTCCTGCTCTCAGAAGGGGGTTGAACTAGATGCGACCTCCCTTGGCCCCTTCCACCCTACTGCGAGTCTAGGAACTTCTCCGCGCTTCTTGGGGAGCCAGGTTTTCATGCTCCGCCAGACAAGCCAGCTCTGCCCCGGCATTGAGTATCTTTATGCGGGGGGAGGCACGGGGTGCTTTAAATACAATGAAGCCATGCACCAGCCAGCTCCCAGCCCAGCCCAGCCCAGCAAAGGATGCTCCAGGGAATACTCCCCCACAGCCAATGCGGGCTGCTTTGGACATGGAGACTGCCTGGATTAGAGGCATGAGTGGGTGCTGGGTTGTGTGTGCAAACTCGTTTTCGACAGCCCCGGGGCTGGGAGCCCGGAAAGATGCTCCCCGCTGGGTCAGTGCCTCTGGCTGGGAGTGCACGTGTGTGCACCCGGGGAGCTGAGATGCGAGTCGAGGAAGCAACCGGGGGAGAAGAGAGATTCACACCCGAGCAAGCCCCATCCCAGCCCCTTGCCTGCACGTCCCCCGCCCGGCTGCCCCCCCGGCTGCCCGGGGAGAAGCCTCCGCTGCCCCCATCGCAGGCGAGAGCAGCGCCCCGTCCCCGCCGCCTCCCGGCGCTCAACTTTCCAGAGCAGGCAAGGAGCCGGCTCGGGGTCCCCCGGCACTTCTGTGGATCCCGGGATCAACTGATCTGGGCAGCCCCCTCCTGGCACCCGTCCCCGCCACCAAACCCACAGAGAGAGCTGGCAATACCAGTAATACCAATAGCAACACCAGTAACAGCAATAACAACCAGACTGACAGTCCCACTCCTATTGATACTACTCCTACTAATGATGATGACGGTAGTAATAATAACAAAGATGATGTTGATAATGAGAATAACGATGATGATAAGAATAGTAATAATACTGATAGCACTACTACTACTAATACCGATACTCATACCACTACTAATGATAATAATAATATTGATCCTAATAATACTGCCACTTAATACTAATGCTACTACCAGTAACGATGACGATAATGATACTGATAATAATGCTGATACTGATACTCATGCTACTACCAATGATGATGATAATAATAATACTGATAGTACTAATAATACTGATACTTGTACTAATGCTAGTGATAATGGGGATAGTAACACTGATACTAATAATATTGATACTTATACTAAAACTACTACTGATGATGATGAAGATAGGAATACTACTAACAATGCTGATACGTATACTACTATTAATGATAATAATACTGATATTAATAGCAATGCTGATACCTATACTACTACTAGCAATGATGATAACAGTAATGCTAAGATTCCTCATACTTATACTAAAACTACTAGTGATGATGATAATACTGATACTACTAATAATACTGATACTTACACTCATCCGACAACTAGTGATGCTAATATTGATACTAATAGATACTGATACTTATACCAATACTACTAATAATAGTGATGATAACAATACTGATACTACTAATACTACTGATACTTATACCAATACTACTACTACTGATAATAATACTGATACTAGTAATAATGCTGTTACTACTAGTATTAATAATGATGACATAGATACTGCTAATAATATTGATACTACTACTACTGAGGATGATACAGATACTACTACTAATAATACTGATACTACCACTAATTCTACCGATAATATTGATACTGTTAATACTAATGATAACACAGCTACTACTACCAACAGTGCTGGTACTGATGCTACTAATAATGATGGCGATGACGACTAAACTAATCCTGGGGCTCTGGAGCAGGCAGAGGTTGCCCCGGGGGGGCACAGCCCTGGAGGGACCTGCGCGTCCCTCCCCTCCAGCCCGGTCCCAGGCGCAGAGCGGGACTGGGGTCCACACGCTGGGCCCGGGCAGGATGGGTCCGCGGAGGAGCTGGGCGCTGCGGGAGGGGCAGGGGCAGGGGCAGGGGCTTGCGGGGCTGGGAGCCGGGGCCGGGCTCTGCCCCAGCTGGAGAAACGGCTCCTTTCCCCTCCCCTACAGGGTTCAAATCCGCTCTCCAGCAAGCTGCGTTGGACCCTGCGCTATTTCCCGTGCAAAGCTCCCCTTTGTTTCTCTCCAGATCCTTGAAAAAAACCCGACATATCTATCTATCTAGCTATCATTTGTCATCCTCCCGCGAAGATTGAACAAGAGAAACTTGGCATCCTTTGCAAACCATTCAGATGGCAGGACAAATCGGCTGGGAATGAGTGATGGTTTGCAAGCTTTGCCGGCTAGTGAGGAGTCTTTCCAATCAGCTGGAATATTGATGATAGAAAATACCCAACTTTATTTTGATTGGCTGAG